CCTGCCTATGCAGGGGGTCGGACTCGATGATCTATTGAGGTCCCTTCCGACCCTAACATCTATGAATCTATGAATCTATCAAGGTTTATCTTAAACTGGTTTCAGCCATTCTGAAAGTGGCTTATGTGCACTGAATTTCTGTTGTGTTATAGATTTGAACTGGTTTCTGCTCACTTATACTGCTTTATATGTAATTTCTGTCTCTAGCCCATGTGTAATGGACTATATTCTTAAAGATTTATCTGGTCTAAACATTCCTACATATACAAATTACTTCAAAACAGATAGTAAATGTATGAACAAGCCAGCCTGTTTTTATACTCTGCTTATATTTTGCCACTCTATTTGGAGCATTAGATATAGACATCCATAATATGATGTAGAATAAAGAAGTGTCTCAAAGCTTTTTTTATTTTTTTAAATTCAGTTGCATGTTGTTGTAATCAGGACTTTTTTGTTTAAAAAAAGAAGAAAGAACTAAGAATAGAAACCCCCAAACCCAAAATGTGATGTAGGGAATAGGGATTGAAGATATTGCTTCCTTTGTAATTTAAAAATGGCTAAGTTTACAAGTATTATTTTGTTTTGTAGCTTAAACTTTAAAAGAAATCCCTTATATGGGGTGATTTGGAAGTGATATGGGAAGTTTCAGATCAAAATGCTTGTTTATAGTTGTCTTATTAACATCTGAAATGAGGGATTACAAGCAGTTTTGGCAAAACATACTGCCATACATAATAGTACTATTTGTGGGCTTTTTTTTAAGATATCAAGTGCCATGTGCACTGCGTATAGGCTTGATTTTATTTGTGTGGCTGAGATACTGGGATCCTCTTGCTTTTCTCACTTGTTTGGCACTGAATCATAAAGGCTTCAGTCTTCATCAACATGGAAATTGCTTTCAAGGCCACACTTCAGTGAAGACCCCCACTGGGCAAATAGGTAAGCCGTCAAAATGAATTATTTTTACTGCAGATTTCAGTTATTTAGTTGGAAAAAACTGTAAGTTGTAAACAGTGGCATTTTTCATCATTAGTTAAATATGTAGTATGAAGGGGACAATTTCTAAATAAGGACAATAAGATGAAAGGTGAGGAATCTTTTGAGTTCTTGCATTATACTCAACCTACTAGCAGCTCTTTTTGAAGTCCCAAATTCTATCAGTGGTACTCCTTTTATGAAGACTCTCCCTGAATTTTAATTCCAGGTTTTTTTCCCCAGAACACTGAAAAAAACAGTAGAAATAGGAAATCATTCGTATTAAAATATCACAATTGTATTTGGCAAAAGGTTTGTGACACCAGGTCCTGTTTATTTCACCTACTATGTTACTGTTGAATCAAGGCATGCAAATCAAAGACTTATTTGAATGTAAACTCTAAAGCTAAGATAAATCAACTTTTTAAGTAGTGATATATTGGTATGAGTATATATAATTTAAGTACCTA